TGATTATTGTTAAAATTACTGCAATATTTCTAAAAACGATAGCTTTGGTGATTTCGGACATTTCGCATTGTCGCAGAACGTTCAAAATAGCTTTATCTTCTAAGTCACACCCACTTTTCCGATAAAACCGAAGAAATCGTAACGATCCGACAATCAGTTGCTGAGATCTACTCAAAACAAAAGAAGAATAATAATAATAACAACTAGAACTGCGAAGCAGTAATGACGGGTTTCACCGGTGCCACGTTACCCTTGAACTTATGTCACTTCCGGTACCAATGAAACCGTTAAACAGGTTTCCACATAAGCATTGCACACATGAAATAAAATGGACGCAGAAACAACCAAATCCAGCAATCAATTCATTTGCTACATGTCAGTGATCCTGTCAAAATTACATTACTTCCGGTGATAATGAAAATGTTAAATTGGTTTATGAAATCAGAAATAGCATCATCACATGGTGAAAATTTTATGTAAATCCTATAATAATTGCCACCTTTATAGACCAAAAACCTTGAAAAATGACTTGTAGAAAATCGCCTATTTCTCTGCAACCGTACAAGTTAGAAACCATTTTGAGGTATCTGTATGATCGAATGAGTTCATTCTATTTGTTGATTGGAATCAAATATCATAATTTTAAAAACATTACAAATCTGATTCATTCGAATAAAATATCTGTTTTGAAGGCTAAAAATACAGTTTTTGCCAAAATGACGTTACTTCCGGTGATAATGAAAATCTTAAATTACTTGTATGAAATCGTAAATGGCATTATGTATCACACAGTGAAAATTTCATGAAAATCGAATAATAATTGACACTTTTATTGACAAAAAACCTTAAAAAGTGACCTGTTGAAAATCGCCTATTTCTCCGCAACTGAACAAGTTAGAAACAATTTTGTGAAATCTATATGATCGTAAGGGTTCATTGTATTAGTTGATTTGAATCAAATATCAAAATTTTAAACAAATAACAAATATGACTCATTTGAATAAATTACTGGTTTCGAAGGCTATAAATACAATTTTTGCCCAAATTACGTCATTTCCGGTGATATTGAAAATGTTAAATTGGTTTGACCTAGTTAAAATTGACATTACACATCAAATGGTGTCACTTTTATGAAAATCGAATAATAATTGACTCTTTTACAGGCAAACTAGCGTAAAAAGTGACTCATGCATAATTGCCCATTTCTCGGCAACTGCGCATATTACAAATTAATTTTCAAATACATTCTCTTCGTATAGATTATTGCTACGAGTTTATGAAAGTTATGAAGTAATATTTTAAAATATGAAAACGCTGGATGGGTTGTAAATAGCTTAATTTTACACCTTTTTTCACCTTTTAATCGAAATAGCCCGAAAACGGAATCGAAATTAAAAAAACTGGTCCCAACATTTTGTGCGCCTTTAAAGGGCGCACAATTTCAGTTATACCAGATTTGAAAAAAATAATATTTGCTTTCGAAAAATGGTACCTAACTGTCAAAATTGTAGTTTTTTGTCAATTTACGCCACTTCCGGTGCCGACAGATAACACTATTGGTAACCAAAAAAATGACAATTGAGACAACGAAGCATATGAACTTTGTTTTATACAAATCGAACAATAAATAATTAATCTAGGACTGAAAAACTGAATTAGCCAATGGGGGCCAAGGAAAATTACCGAGACAAAAATTTTTCACATTTTTGCCCAAGTCAGAGGACTCGTTATATTTGTGTAAAACACGACTAAAAAATATTCATAAATAAAAAAGTTTTTTGTAAAAATTTAAATTTTCTAAATTTAGCGCCTAATATCTGCGAAGATTTGCCGAAAATCAAAAATCAAAAGTAGCGTAGCTATGTGCCCCGTCTCCGGCTATGCCAAAATGCATCGAAAGTTAAAATCCAATGATTATTGTTAAAATTACTGCAATATTTCTAAAAACGATAGCTTCGGTGATTTCGGACATTTCGCATTGTCGCAGAACGTTCAAAATAGCTTTATCCTCTAAGTCACACCCACTTTTCCGCTAAAACCGAAGAAATCGTAACGATCCGACAATCAGTTGCTGAGATCTACTCAAAACAAAAGAAGAATAATAATAATAAGAATAACTAGAACTGCGAAGCAGTAATGACGGGTTTCACCGGTGCCACGTTACCCTTGAACTTATGTCACTTCCGGTACCAATGAAACCGTTAAACAGGTTTCCACATAAGCATTGCACACATGAAATAAAATGGACGCAGAAACAACCAAATCCAGCAATCAATTCATTTGCTACATGTCAGTGATCCTGTCAAAATTACATTACTTCCGGTGATAATGAAAATGTTAAATTGGTTTATGAAATCAGAAATAGCATCATCACATGTTGAAAATTTTATGTAAATCCTATAATAATTGCCACCTTTATAGACCAAAAACCTTGAAAAATGACTTGTAGAAAATCGCCTATTTCTCTGCAACCGTACAAGTTAGAAACCATTTTGAGGTATCTGTATGATCGAATGAGTTCATTCTATTTGTTGATTGGAATCAAATATCATAATTTTAAAAACATTACAAATCTGATTCATTTGAATAAAATATCTGTTTTGAAGGCTAAAAATACAGTTTTTGCCAAAATGACGTTACTTCCGGTGATAATGAAAATCTTAAATTACTTGTATGATATCGTAAATGGCATTATGTATCACACAGTGAAAATTTCATGAAAATCGAATAATAATTGACACTTTTATTGACAAAAAAACCTTAAAAAGTGACCTGTTGAAAATTGCCTATTTCTTCGCAACTGAACAAGTTAGAAACCATTTTGTGATATCTATATGATCGTAAGGGTTCATTGTATTAGTTGATTTGAATCAAATATCAAAATTTTAAACAAATAACAAATATGACTCATTTGAATAAATTACTGGTTTCGAAGGCTATAAATACAATTTTTGCCCAAATTACGTCATTTCCGGTGATATTGAAAATGTTAAATTGGTTTGACCTAGTTAAAATTGACATTACACATCAAATGGTGTCACTTTTATGAAAATCGAATAATAATTGACTCTTTTACAGGCAAACTAGCGTAAAAAGTGACTCATGCAAAATTGCCCATTTCTCGGCAACTGCGCATATTACAAATTAATTTTCACATACATTCTCTCCGTATAGATTATTGCTACGAGTTTATGAAAGTTACGAAGTAATATTTTAAAATATGAAAACGCTGGATGGGTTGTAAATAGCTTAATTTTACACCTTTTTTCACCTTTTAATCGAAATAGCCCGAAAACGGAATCGAAATTAAAAAAAATAGTCCCAACATTTTGTGCGCCTTTAAAGGGCGCACAATTTCAGTTATACCAGATTTGAAAAAAATAATATTTGCTTTCGAAAAATGGTACCTAACTGTCAAAATTGTAGTTTTTTGTCAATTTACGCCACTTCCGGTGCCGACAGATAACACTATTGGTAACAAAAAAAATGACAATTGAGACAACGGGGCATATGAACTTTGTTTTATACAAATCGAACAATAAATAATTAATCTAGGACTGAAAAACTGAATTAGCAAATGGGGGCCAAGGAAAATTACCGAGACAAAAAATTTTCACATTTTTGCCCAAGTCAGAGGACTCGTTATATTTGTGTAAAACACGATTAAAAAATATTCATAAATAAAAAAGTTTTTTGTAAAAATTTAAATTTTCTAAATTTAGCGCCTAATATCTGCGAAGATTTGCCGAAAATCAAAAATCAAAAGTAGCGTAGCTATGTGCCCCGTCTCCGGCTATGCCAAAATGCATCGAAAGTTAAAATCCAATGATTATTGTTAAAATTACTGCAATATTTCTAAAAACGATAGCTTCGGTGATTTCGGACATTTCGCATTGTCGCAGAACGTTCAAAATAGCTTTATCCTCTAAGTCACACCCACTTTTCCGATAAAACCGAAGAAATCGTAACGATCCGACAATCAGTTGCTGAGATCTACTCAAAACAAAAGAAGAATAATAATAATAAGAATAATAATTTTAACAAAAACAATAGTGTTTCACACAAGCTACGCAGTGTGAAACCCTAATAATAATTTTAACAAAAACAATAGTGTTTCACACAAGCTACGCAGTGTGAAACCCTAATTATCAAAATAGGCAATATGATAGACCTACAAGAAATATCTGTTGTCCAAAAAGATTTGTAGATACCTGATAATGATGGTTAATTTATTTGTCATAATAATCTCATGTGATGTCTTATGAAATATTTGAAATTAGAACATAATTAATGTTTGTAAGATTAATCTGATTTTGTTTAATGGCTTGAAATATTTGAAATTCAGATGTTAACTTTTTATATGTATTTAGTTTAAGTTAGTTTCATTTCTTTTGAAGAAAGGGAGATGTAAGGATATAATACATGTACATTAATATTCAGTTGTCTGAATCCTATAAGACTAACCATAAGTTAGTTCCCTTTAATGTTAGACCAGAGTTACTTCCCTTATGTAGTTTGGATTGTCCAGGATACAACTGTATTATAAAACATGCCATGTGCTCGCCTGTCTGAATAAACCTTGCTGTTACTGTTATACTCATTTTTGTAGTCCTTCACACAGACACATTTGACATAAAACACAAGTATATTACACTGCACACCTATTTTCATCACTCTCATTTAATTAGCACTAAAGTTACCGTGTCCCAAAGCATCAACCAATCAAATTGCTCATCTCTGCTTACCCTATGCAGAAAATCCTCATCTTCAAACTCCATGAAGTTTTGCCCCCCCCCCTCCTTTGGAAAAAATGTCGACCATAAAAAATAATAGATTGTCCGTCAATTTTACAGTACCCGTGGGAACACTTCCTGCCCCCTTGTTGCTCTGAGCAAGTTACGTCCCTCCAGACAGACAGGCAGACCCATTTTAACAGTCCATTGCTTTCTTCGAAAGGCGGGAGACAAATATAGAAGTAACATTAATATTTAATAAATTACCTTCTATCTTTATATTTTCCTCTTGCTTCAGGTGATACGATTGCATTTCCAATAATGAAACATCCAACACCTACATCCATCGAACCTGTACCATATGTTTCAGTTTTCACATATCGACGTGGAAATATTGTAAAGTCCACAGCTAAAATTACAACTGCTGTCTGTACATTTAGAATAGCACGAAAGTAGTTAATAAATGGTCTTTTCTCCGACATATCAATATCAAATACACCACTTCTTGTATATTTTTCATTTCGACCCTCTGTCTTCTTAGCAAGTGACATAAATATGCTTAATATAATCAAACATACCAAAGATGTGACGAATATAAAAAGGTGCTCACTAAACATTGTTGGACCCAAAATCAACGGTAGAATTATACACACAAAATCTAGAAAAAACTTTGACCTATAAAATAAAAGGTTGGTTGCCAGGCAAAGAAACATACACCCACAGCAGCTCAGTTCCCTGGGCAGTAAACAAGGGTTGTCGCATAATTTTTCTTTTGTTGGTAATGAAAAATTTACAATACACTAAGTCTTAACTCTGATTAAGTATAACAACTCATCAAGTAATTATCAGAAATCATTAGAATTTGTTTGGCTTCTAGTTCTGCTCCATGATAACGTTTAGTTTACAAAACATTTAATATCATAGATTTAGTGTTCAAATTATCAAACCAGCGGCTGCCAGGCAGGATACGCCCAGTGATTTTTCCTACAATCAGGGGCCATAATTCAGGAAATTACAATTCGATATGCGCAAATATCAAAAGGAACCGAGATCTTTGGGTTATAAACTTACATTTCAAGTTTCAACAAAATCTGATAAAAATTGTGACCTCTACTGGGTCCACAACCTTGATATACCATATTTTTACACTATTCCCGTAGAAGCGGCAGCCTTTTTGTCAGGCAGTTTTGGTTTTATTTTCAGGAAATTCAAACTCAACCTTCATTACGGTGTAACGGTGATATAATCAAACAGATTTTTAAATCGGATAATAATTGTGACCTCCAGAGGGACCACAATCTAAAAGATAGGTTGCCAGCCAACGAAACATACGCCAACAGCAGCTATATCGTCCGGGCAGTCAACAAGAGTTGTCGCATATTTTTACTTTTTCCGGTAATGAAACATTTATAATACATTAAAATCTGATCAAAAATAACAACTCATTATCAAGTAATTATCAGAACACCATTAGAATTTGTTTGGTTTTTATAAAGTTCGGCCCCATGCTAACGTTTAGTATACGAAACTTTTAACATCATGGATTTAGCTTTCAAGTCATAAAGATTCATTGAAAATCAATATACTTGTTCGTCTCAAGACCTTAAACTATGTGTATCAATCTGAAGTCAATCGGATGATAACTTTAGCCTCTATGATTCTTCATCTCATGGCCTCAAACACTGTGTATAAATTTAAAGTCAATCGGATATTAACTTTTATCTCTAGAGCGTCCACAAGATTTTTTGAAGTGATCAAGGGTCATAACTCTGGCAGTAATTATTGAAAATCAATAGGCTTCTTCGTCTCATGACCTTAAACACTGTATAAATTTAATGTCAATCGGATATTAACTTTGACCTCTAGAGTGTCCACAAGCAACTGTGGACGGACGAATGGGGGCAACGACAATATAAGACTACATTTCAATGTGAGCATATAAAAATCAATAGGATTCTTCATTTCATGACCTTAAACACTGTGTATAAATTGAAAGTCAATCAGATTTTAACTTAAGCCTCTATCACAAGATTTTTTTAAAGTGATTAGAAATTTTTGTAAATCAATAGGCCTCCTCGTCTCACGACCTTAAAAACTGTGTATAAATTTGAAGTCAATCGGATATTAACTTTAACCTCTGGAGCATTCACAAGATTTTTCAAAGTTAACAAGGGCCATAACTCTGGAAGTGATTATTGGAAATCGATAGGCTTCTTCGTCTCATGACATTGAAGACTGTGTATAAATTTAAAGTCAATCGGGCAGTTTCGGTCCAATTTTCACAATATTGGAACTCAACCATCATTACAGTGTAACTGTGATATATTTGAACGGTTTTTAAAATGAAATAAAGATAGGTTGCCAGGCAACAAAACATACGCCCACAGCAGCTAAATCGTCTGGGCAGTCGCATATTTTTACTTTTTTCGGTAATTAAATATTTATAATACACTAAAATCTGATTAAGAGCAACAACTCAGAAAACCATTAGAATTTGTTTGTTTTCTATAAAGTTCTGTCCTATGCTAACGTTTTGTATACAAAACTTTTAATATCATGGATTTAGCTGTTCCAAGTCATAAAAATTCATTGAAAATCAATATACTTGTTCATCTCAAGATCTTAAACTCTGTGTATAAATCTGAAGTCAATCGGATGATAACTTTAGCCTTTAGAGCGTCACAAGATTTTGCAAAGTGATCAAGGGCCATAACTCTGGCAGTAATTATCGGAAATTGCTAAAAATCAATAGTCAATCGGATATTAACTTTGGTCTCTAGAGCGTCCACAAGATTTTTTGAAGTGATCAAGGGCCAGAACTCTGGCAGTAATTATCTGAAATCGCTGAAAATCAATAGGCTTTTTCCTCTCAAGACCTTAAACACTGTGTATAAATTTAAAGTCACTCGGATATTAACCTTAGCCTCTAGAGTTTGTGGACGCCCGACGGTTTGAGGAACGGGGGCGACGACAATATACGACCACATTTAAATGTGAAACTTCCAGTCAGTAGAAACAGGAAACACAAACCAAGTACAGACGGTTTGATGGGATCAATTTTGACCAAGTCAAAATGATGCATTTGATATTCAGATAAGTTTATATAAAATAATTAATAGAATACAATATAAAAAAACCATCGTTTTATCCAACGTTTCGTCAGTAAAAATACTTCTTCAGGGATGAAGAGCTAAATTCAAAATGACTGGAAGTCAGTTATGACATCATAAGAAGTTATGACATCGTGGGAGTGATGACGTCATAGACTTAGATACATAACGTGAAAGGTTAGCTTAACTAAAACTTAGGTAAAATTTTACAAGTTTGAAAAACTTATGCATGATTATGAATGATTTTGAAACCGCCTGGATTTAACTCATTTAAACCGTTAGGCCAAACTGAATCAAGTCTATGAATCCACAGACTTTCTGCTGTGTTCAATTTTTTCTGATCTTTATCAGGAATTTTTTGTACTATGGTATACACGAAATCATGACCCGGTATATTAAAATGGGAGGTTACATGGGGGGAATGGCCAGGTTTTTTAAGCTTTATATTACTTCTATGCTTATTAAGTCGAATGCTGAAAGGAGTAATGGTTTGGCCTACATATTGCATACTACAGGTTTTACATGTTTAACAATATACAAAATAAGAACTGGCACAGTTGACAGAGTCTCTATTCTTGAATGTTTTCATGTCTTTACTGGTTACTTCTTGATTATTACACATAGTCTTGCATGATTTGCATAATTTTCGTAAACAAGGTTGACATCCGTATGAAATTTTGTCCTTAATATGCTTATTACTAGTGTTAGAAGTTCTCAACTTATTTTCTTTCAAGATATTGCAAAGTTTAAACGCATGTTTCTCGGAAACGCTGCCAACATTTTTTTTTCAAGCTTTCACAATCGAGAGTCAAATGGGTAGTGTATTGTGTGAAACCATTGTACAATTTTTCTAATTGTCATGGGTAGCCGAAAAAAGAGATCGAAAATTGAAAACAGCGTATTTTTACGATTTGGAGCATGTTTTGGGGGTCTTTTTCTCGAAAAGTCAACTTAAAATATTTTTGGGGAACTTGTTATATATAGAGAGTCTAATCGGCAGTCTTATGTATGAAATCATTGCGCAACAGTCCGAAATATCAGGAGTAGGAAAGCAAAGGGATCGAAAATTGAAAACAGCGTATTACATTATTAAGCGAAACTTGCAATAAGAGTGGATAAAATCTGTACGTTTTGTCAACGTATAGAGCATATTCAAGAGTGATTTTTCTTTCACAGTGACGATAATTGAACTAAAATTATTTCAACTATGAGTGTTTACTTCAACCCAAAATATGGGTTTAATGACCCATAACAGAAATAGTTGAATTCTGTCTGTAATAATTAGTCTTTGAATTAATATGGTTGCTTCTTTCTCAAAATGATCTCGTAACCGTAATCATCTCGACCGAATCGTCGGCTCACGCTGTGTTATAAGTAAGTCCAATTTCACACTTGTATGCAGTAGTATCGAATATTGTACTTGTGACAGAAAACCTGATGTTGTTTAAGCATGGGCTATCTGTAATTATTATCAAGTATTTACATGTTAGTGACGTCAAATCTTTAACATGCACAAAACCAGGAAATTGACAATAATTCATTGAATATTCAATCAATTTTTGAAACAGCTACATATTTCAGTAGCTGACATGAACGCGATTGTGATGTCCCATGTACACATTGGTGTGACCGTAACAGATATCTTAGTAGTTGAAATTCTATATAAGAGTTGACTAGCGCCGCTGTACGAGCATGTTTAGAGGTCTTTTTCTCAAAAAGGCAATCTAATATTATTGGGGGAACTTCTTCTATAGAGAGCCTAATCGATATTTTTGTGTATGAGACCACCTACAACGGTCAAAAGTATCAGGAGTAGCTCAATAGATGTTTCTGAGAATTCTGGTACAGAAAGTTAAGTATCCAAACAACTTGTTAAAGCTATCCTGACAATGATCTAAAAACCGGAAGTAGTCGAAAAAATATCCGATATTTTGAAACCAGCGGCTGCCAGACAGGATACGCCCACATTTTCGAGAGATGGATAAAGAACAAGCTAAAAAGAAAGTGATTTTTCCTACAATCAAGGGCCATAATTCGGAAAATTACAATTCGATATGCGCGAATATCGAAAGGAACCGAGATCCTTGGGTTATAAACTTACATTTCAAGTTTCAACAAAATCAGATAAAAATTGTGACCTCTATCACTGAGAAGTAGTAAAGGTGAGATTTTTACGTTTACAGTATAGATTTCGCGCTGACGCGTAGGTGTTAAATCTAATTTACCGTGCGATTTTTTGTTCGACACAGTGGTTTTTTTTACGCAGATCGGTCTTTGTTAAGTGTAGGTCTTTATACATGGATTTATACGTGGGATAGGTACGTATATCCTTTCTTATAAGTATTTCATTTCTTGATGAATACTACGTGTTTTGTACTTCGTACCATAGTCGTACTGCAGTTATTTATATATTTGATCTTTTTTGTGGGTTAAATGCTCGTATCTTAAAATTGATCACACGCAGTACCGTCATTTCCTGATATCATAACCAACCCCAATTTGATTATCCGATATATTCTAATCGCCATTGTTATCAGATTAACCAATCTGTTTTCGAAGCAGCCA